CAAATATTACAACATAATATAAGTGCTTCACTACTTTGATAATATAATGACAAAGGATAATCTTGGCGGGGGTCTCATAAAACAAAAAAATATATGAATTTATATAGATAAAAGCGCAGAAATACCAAAAGACATCTTAAAGGTTCAAATTAAACATTTGGAGGTTATGATTATAAAAAACATGCAATTTATGAATATTAAGATATCAATTGAATAGGTAATTAGATTTTTAAAAAAATACTATTAAATCTAGAGGAACTACGCAAACCTAATTCTCACCTTAATCAAATATGTAGGCATGTTTCCTCAAGTTCGATGATTAAAGTTCAAAAAATTAAATAAAATTATTAAATTTTTATTCAAGAAAATGAAAAAGTTTTTATCCTTGTTAAGAAAAGAATGTTTATCCTTATTCAAAAATATAAAAAAAAAATAGTTTTTACTTCACATTTCAATTAATTTTAGAATGAAAAAAAAAAGATAAATAATTTTTTAGAACATAGAAAAGTGTCATGTCACTTTTTTAAGAAGAGAAAATTCAAGAATGACCAAACTGAAAACCAAAGTAAAATTACAATTAAATTTGAATGTTAAATTACCCCTTTTTTCCTGCTTGCCAATGGTTCTCACTTCTCGGTACTAGATTGTTTTCTGAAGGAGAGATAACTCTAACTTTTCACCTAGGAAATCAATTAACAATTGAAAGCAAAGTGAATTAGGAAATCAATTAACAATCATAAAAATTCTTGATGAATGATAAAAAAATTCTTTATATTGATTTTGTTTTTGTAAAGGAATTAATGCATATTCATTTCTTCCGGTTGTCACTCGATCGAATTTTCAAAATCATGCCAAAGTATGCACGTCTTGGTTCATAAGTTGTGATGACTTCAACCTTTCATCCAATATTCATGCTATTTGAACAAATCAGTCTTTAAAACTTCACAGTCATGTTGCAGAACTCGTGTTCCTCTTCACAATTTTAATTTTACCTTCAAATTGGCAAAAAGAGAGGTAAATTGAAAACTTGTAACGCAGGAGATGATACCTTGCACACAATAGCTATGTCGACAAAATACCAATTGAAAATTATAGTGTGTATATCCTGAAAAGGAGAGAAAATAAGAGCACATCACACATGAGTTATTTAATAAAGAGTATGTACTATATTTATTGAAAGAAAGTAGTCATGGATCATGAGTAAATTCCAACTTTTCAGTATAAGTACTCACATATACATCATTTGTAATGATGAATTGAAGACTTGTTGTAAGGGATGAGAATTGGAGAAAGAACATGAAGAAAGGAGGTGTATTTTAGTACACAAAGGACTCGACTGTTGAGTTTTGTTAAACTAAAAACATTAGCGGCTTTTGGGTTTATTTGACGGAACAGTTATCTAATATAATAATAATTAACAATTAAAGTCATTAAGAAGTAGAAAATGATAAGTTGTAACATCGATCTAACCATGTATTTTTTCTATTTTAATTGTAATTATTGATTTTATTTTAAATGATTTTAATTAAAAATAAGTGAAGGGCATTTTCGTAATTCAACTTTGAATTTAAAATCTTCTCACTTATAATAATATATGATTTTGTGATGCTGTTTGAGCAAATAAATTTTTTGCGAGATTTAAGTTTATATTTTCATATGATAATATTCTATAAGTAATTATGTCTTCGCACCCTTAAAGAGTGTATGTATGTATGCTAAGTATAAGTTCGATTGCTAAGGATAAAATTAAAAGACCAGTCCATTTGAAGGTCAAATTGTGTCATTTCTTCTTATTATAATTGTCATTTTTAGTTGATTGATTAGCTCTTGTGAAAAATTGGTCCAGTAATTTGATTTTTCTTGACCTATTTTTTAAGAATTACAACACATTATCCTACAACAAATGAACCAAAAAATTCTATCTTTTATCTTGTTTTTATGCCACTTTCAAGAATTTATGACTCTTCTTATAGTACTTACAGTACTGTTTGCTCCTCTTCACAATTTTACAAGCAGCAAACAAATATAATCATATCAATAAACCAAGATATAAATGTTACAGTAGAATTTCTTGATATTATCGAAATAAAATAAAAAATTACAATAAAAAAATAATAAGTTTGTGTACTGACAGTGATGAATTTTTGGCATATCAGTAGGTAATAATTGAACAAATTATTTTAACGACATTGTATTTTAATAAAGGGAAAAAGGTTAAATATATCTCCGAACTTTAAAAAATGATATATATATATATCTTTCGTTATACTTTTGGATCATACATACTCTTACCGTCATAATTTTGGATCATATATATCGTTTGATCAAACGGAAAAACACGTGGCATGATCTCAAATATTTGCCCTATTTTATTTTATTTTTTATCCAAAATTTAACCTCTCTCTTCTCTTTCTCTCTCCAAGTTCATATTCTGGTTTTTCCTCTCTCTCACCGTATCGCCGGAAAATTCTCTCAATCTTCGACACATTTCACATTTTTATATATAATTTTAATTGATCTCTCATCCATAAGGAAAGAAAATTAAATAATCAATTAGGGCTCATATTTGTTTCTTAGCCAAAGATCAAACTTTTGGTTGATTTGTTTTCCTAATGTGGTTGAGATTTAGGGTGTGTTTGGTATGAAGGAAAATGTTTTCCTGGAAAACAAGTTGATTTTTGACTTATTTTCTTATGTTTGGTTGGTGAGTAGAAAATATTTTCCGGAAAAGATTTTTAGTGTTTGATTTATGAATGAAAAATATTTTTGAGGAATATCTTTTATTTTTACTAGAGTAGAAAATAATTTTTGAAATTGAAAAAATAGTTTTTAAAAACAAACTTAAATTTTTTTTGGAGGGTTGGGGGGGGTCGAGAGTAGGGGTGAAAAATTGAAATTTTGAAGTTGAAAATATTTTTTAAAAACAAACTTAAATTTTTTTTGGGGGTTGGGGGGGGGGGGTCGAGGGTTGGGGTGAAAAAATAAAATTTTGAAGTTGAAAATATATTTTAAAAACAAAATTAAAATTTTTTTTGGGCGTGGGGAGAGGGGGTGCTAGTAGGGGTTGGGTGGGGTGGGGTGGGGGATTGGGTAGGGGTGAAAAAAATGAAATTTTAAAATTGAAAATATTTTTGAAAAACAAACTTAAAATTATTTTTTGGGGGTGGGGGGGGCGGCTAGTAGGGGGTGGTGGGTGGGGGTCGAGGGTAGGGGTGAAAAAATGAAATTTTGAAATTGAAAATATTTTTTAAAAACAAACTTGAATTTTTTTATTTTTTTTGGGGGAGGGGGGGTGGGGGGCTGGTAGGGGGTTGGGTGGGGGGGGGGGGGGGGGTAGGGGTGGGTGGGTGCAGGGTAGGAGGTGCGTGGGGAGTCGAGGGTAGCGTGAAAAAAATGAAATTTTGAATTTGTAAATATTTTTTAAAAACAAACTCAATTATTTTTTTTTGGGGGGAGGGGGTGACCGGAGAGGGGGGTGGGAGATCGAGGATCGGGATGAAAAAATAAAAATTTGAAGTTGAAAATATTTTTTAAAAACAAACTTAATTTTTTTCTTTTTGAAGGGAGTTGGGGGCTGATAGGGGGGTTGATGGGGGGAGGGGGGGAGGGTAGTGGGTGGGGGGTAAAAAAATAAAAAATTGAAATTAGAAATATCTTTTAAAAGCAATTTTTAATACTTTTTTGGGAGGGGGTGGGGTAAAAAAATTGAATTTAAAAACAGGCTTTAAAATTATTTTATTTTTTTTGGGGGGTTGGTGGTTTGAGGCTACGGACAAAATAAATTGATTTTTTCAACAAAAAAATAATTGTAATTTGAAGTTGGAAGAGAGTTTTGGAAAATGTTTTCCTTAAGTTTAGAAGGGAAGTCATTTTCCTTAAATTTGAGGAAAATGAATTGATTTGAAAAACATTTTCCAAAACATTTAGTCCAACCAAACATGAAAAAATTGAAAAACATTTTCCGGAAAATGTTTCCTTCATACCAAACACACCATTAGAGTTTGTGGTGCTATTTTGGAAAACACTTTCTGGAAGATCTAATTGCTTAAGTTTTGATTACATTTGTGAAGGATCAAATTCCGTTCTCTGTTCTCTTGGTGCTTAGATTTGAGTAGTTTGATCCGCTCACTTTTTTCGTTTTTGAATTGTGAGTGTTGAATTTTTCTCAAACATATTTTGGTCTACAAAACTTGAAATTGCAGACCTTCACCATTGATCTGAGATTTATGGGAGGGGGAGTGATGGAAATCTAGAGAGCTTGAAAATAAATCGGTGTTGAATTATTGACATCAAAATTTGAGAAGAATCTTGCCAATAGTGATTAATTGGAAATGGGTGTTGATCAAGCTATGGAGATGGGTGTTGGTTCGGTGTTGAAATTAGATGTATTGATAATGGAGATCAATTAGAAATCAGCCAAGTGAATGAATGGATTAAAAATAAATAAATTTTGGATAAAAAATAAAAATAAAATAGGGCAAATATTTGAGATCATGCCACGTGTTTTTCCATTTAATCAAAGGGTATATATGATCTAAAATTATGAAGGTAAGGATATGTATGACCCAAAAGTATAACGAAAGATATATACGTATCATTTTTGAAAGTTCGGGGGCATATACATTTTCCCTTTAATAAAATAAGATCATATTCATAAAAAATAAAAAAAAGATTTCAAATATATTATTTTAACTCACCTCGGGTTATAGTTTAGGCCTCAATTGTTTGTCGTTAATAAAGGTCTGAATTATTTAGTGCATTTATTTTTGAATAAGTCATTGATCATTAAAGTATTGAGCGGAGGCTTAATATATTACTAATTAGAAATTGCTAGTTGATTTCTAATAGTTACTTATAATATGGTAGTGGCTTTCCAGCTTTATTATAAAATGGCTAGTTGTATGTAATAAAATCAGCATCTTCTAATTGTTTAGTGTTTTGTAAACCATTTGACGAGCTCAGCTGATATAGTGATATACTTGTAAATCAAATCTCTTCATTCACAAATCTTGTATCGGAGATGGCTGTTTATGCTGCTGTAACTTCTCTGATGGGAACAGTGCACCTGATTTCGCAATCCAGCTTAGACTTTCAGGAAAGTAACAAAGAATGTTCGAAATCACTCCACGAGAAGGTTGGTTCTCTGTTAGAGTTTCTTGACAATTCTGATAATGAACTGATGAAGGATCTGCAGAAAAAGGTCAAAGATCTAGCAAATGAAATAGAAGATGAAGTCGAATCACAAGTTTTGCAGATTATGGAGAAGGATGAACATATTCAAACAGAGGCAAATGAGAGGCTTCGTAAGATCTTGGAACAAGCTATAGAAGACATCGATTCTGTGAATGAAGAGCTCAGAAAGCAGAGGAACAAGAATAACAATTCGCTATCTGGAAATTGTTCGCTTGGTGGTTCTACTTCACCACGATCGCGTGTTTCAACCCTTGAGAACGACATGGTGGGGCACAGCGATGAACAAGCGAGAGTGCGGGGTGAGCTTATCGGGCACTCATCTCTACTGGAAGTCATCTCCATTACTGGGATGGGTGGCATAGGCAAGTCAACTTTTGCCAAAACGATGTTTTCCGATCCCTCAGTTATGGGCTTCTTCGATGTTCGTGGATGGATTACTGTATCCAAGGACTACAGTTTAAGAAAGATGCTTCTATCCCTCCTTCAAGACGCTATTGGCGTGAATGAAGTGCTTGATAAGAAACCCGATGATGAACTAGCTGATTGCTTGCAGAAATGTCTCAAGGGAAGAAGGTATTTGATTGTTGTGGATGACATATGGAGCACGAAAGCCTGGGAAGACATCAGACAATGGTTTCCAGAAAACAACAATAGAAGCCGAATTCTGTTGACTACTCGGATAATGGAGGTTGCTCGAGATGCTAGCTATCCTAAGAATCTTTTTCCAATGCGTTTCCTAGATCCAGAAGAAAGTTGGAATTTGTTTTGCCAAAAGGCTATCAGCAAAAATGATTGTCCAACTGAATTTGAGAATGTTGGAAAGGTAGTTGTAGAAAATTGCAAAGGCTTACCACTAATGATTTCTGTGGTTGCAGGGTCTCTTTCTAGCAAGAGGACGCTGGACGAGTGGAATGAAGTAGCTCAAAGTGTAAGCTCATTAGTAAACCTTGATGATTATCAACGTTGCTCAGGAGTGCTCGCTTTGAGCTACAATCATCTTCCTTCCCACTTGAAAGCTTGCTTTCTGTATTTCGGAGTTTTCAAAAAAGCTAGTGAAATTTCTATTGAAAACTTGATTAGATTATGGATAGCAGAAGGACTCTTTAAGCTGTGGGGGATTGGGGATTTGGAAAAAGAGGTTTGTAGTTTACTACATGATCTTATTGATAGAAGTTTAATTGTTGTTTGCAAGCATAGTTTGGATGGAAAAATCAAGACATGTAGGATTCATGATCTTCTCCATGATTTATGCTTGAGAGAATCGGTAAGTGAGAGTCTTTTGTATGCTTCAAATACCTCAATTTCAGGTACCAATGTTCCTCAACATCGTCGGTGGGTTTCATTTCATCAAGAGCCAGTGCTAAATTTTTTCTCTCTTACCTTCCCTACTTATTGCAAAACACGTTCTCTTCATTTTCTTGCGGTAAAACCGTACCGTACTACATTTGAATTAGGACTAGACCGTTTCAAACTTCTTAGAGTATTAGACTTCCTGGGATCAAACCTGATACATTTATCTAACGTATTAGCAAACCTAGTTTCCTTAAGGTATTTGAGGGGTGATTTCAGTGGATATCCACTAATTTATAAACTTCGGAATCTACAATTTCTTAGTTTTTGTCAAGTAAATAAGCTTCTACCCAATGAAATTCACTTACCAGATGGAACCTGGAAAATGTCTCAATTGAGGCATCTCCACTCTGCAAGTTTTTATTTGTGTTCTCCTCCAAAGGTATCTGGCAATAAGTACCGGGTTTTGGAAAACTTGCAAAGTGTTCATGGGTTGAGACCTGTTTGTTGCACAAAAGAAATGTTTGAAGGGATTAAAAAGGTGAAAAAATTGGGGATTTGTGGCGAGACTAATCACTTCTATTATGCGCCCAAATGCCTAGATTATCTTAGATATTTACCTGAGCTAGAGAAACTAAAAATCTTATTATACGATCATTACGGAAGTGATTTGCTTCATAAGCAGCCAGTTCCATGTGTGGGTTCTTTCCCACCGAATCTCAAGAAGCTGACACTTCAAGGAACTCATCTATTATGGTCAAAACTGACAATCATTAGCAAGTTGCCCAAACTCGAGGTGCTCCAATTGAAGGCATTAAAGTTGTTTGGTGATGAGCTTGGAGAAACTGTCTGGAAAGTATCAGAGATGGGATTTCCTAAATTGAAATTTTTGCTCTTAGAGAAGAAGGGTCTTAAATACTGGAAGGCCACCGACGATTCTTTTCCATGCCTTGAGCGTGTAATTATCAAAAACTGCCGTTTCTTACAAGAGATTCCTAAAGAATTTGCAGATAGTATGACACTGAAGCGAATTGAGTTATGGGGATGTACTCCTTCCCTTGTGAATTTCGCTAAGGAGATCCAAGAAGAGCAAGAGAGTTTGGGAAACAACATACTTCAAGTTTATGCCTATGACACAATTAGAGGTAAGTGGAATGATTCTTCAACATCCATTATATGTTTTACCAGTAATTAATTGACGTGCTGACTTTGATTCAAAGTTTTATGTGCATAACTACTAGTATATCTTGATTGTAATAAGATAGGTAAAATTGAATATTTCATATGTATAGACTCTGTAAAAGTGGAAGGGCGGGGGGATGGAATTCATTAGATTGAATAAGTTGATAACATCTCTCTTACATCTTGAGAGGCCTAGTTTAGTCCATTTTATTGTTGGGACATTTGGTTATAGAAATTTGTTGGAAATGAAGACACTTTTGAAAGAGTAGCATGCCAATTATTGCAAAAAAAAATGTGGCCTTACATCTATGATAAGCCTACGGGGGAGATGTGATTAGACAGAACATGGTGCAGCTTTAGCTTATCGAGGAGATGACCTTAAATCGGAGGGTGTGGAAGTCATGGATTAGGGTAGAAGGTTAGTAGGTAGTGGAGTGTTCTCTTGCTTCGCAAGGGTTTAGGCTTAGTGGTGTACGGTGTCTGTCGTAGTATTTGTTTTATTCTTGTAATGTCTTGCTTTTGCTTTCTATCACCATCTGTTTTTGTTATGGTGTTTCAATTATTGCATTATTTTGTTCTTATTACTGTTTTCTTCTGTATTAGTTGCTTCACTGTCTATTTTATACGTACTTTGATTTGTTGTACTCGAGTCGAGAGTCTTCGAGAAACAGCCTCTCTACCTCCATGAGGTAGTGGTAAGGTATGTGTACACTCTACCCTCCCCAGACTCCACTTGTAGGATTTGATCAGTAAGTATATATATATATATATATATATATATATATATATATATTGTTGTTGGTGTTACATAAATGATCAGCAGGGCAACGTTTTCAACAATGGTTTAGATATGCTCTTCAATAACGTTTTTAACAATGGTTGAAGCTAGATATGTTAAATCTCTTAAAAATATGTGCAGAAGTATATATATGTCCTACCGAGGAAGATACGAAGGAAGAAGTAGAAACATCTCTCTGTGTTTAGTCAAGGACAGAAGTATATATATGTCCTACCGAGGAAGTGCTTAGATATCAAGGTCGTTTGTGTGTTTCCTCAAGGAGTTTGCAGATCGTTTAAACATGAAGACAGTAAACAACTGAAGTCAAGGACATTCAACATCTACTATATCCATCAAAAATAAGTTTCAACTTCATATATACCGTGTAACTCTCCATCGAAACAGGTTTGGTTGAACTCCCTTACTCTGGCATTGCCCCTGGTGGGATTACACTGGATTGTTATTGTTCTTGTTCTTGTATCTCATAAAATGGGGTTGATTTTATCATCAATACTCAAACTAGAATATGTAATAGTTCATTTGTACTTTTACCCCTATTTTGTGATGCTCTTTTACCCCTATTTTGTGATAATATTCTACCAGCAATTATGTCTTTGTACTTTTAAAGTACGTATGTAAGCTAAGTATAAGTTCGATTGCTAAGGATAAAATTAAAAGATGAAGGGAAAATGGTGTTATTTCTTCTCATTAATTACCATTTTTAGTTGATTCATTAGCTCTTGTGAAAAATTGGTCCAGTAATTTGATTTTTCTTGACCTATTTTTTTTTAAAACTACAACACATTATCCTACAACAAATGAACCAAAATTTTCTATCTTTTATCTTTTTTTTATGTCACTTTCAAATGTTATTATAAAGATCATATTTATAAATAAAAAAAAATCAAATGTATTATTATAACTCGCCTCGGGTTATAGTTTAGGCCTCAATTGTTTGATGTTAATAAACTAAATGGTTTAGATCTTAGGTTATTAAGTGCATTTGTTTTGAATAAGTTATCATTGAAGTATTGAGTGAAGGCTTAATATTATTAAGAACTATTTCTGAGTGAATAATTTTCATATCACTCTATTCATAATTATTAACCACCATCATTACCATTTCTGACATCACAATTATCACCATTATTATTCGACCATCATTTACGTCGCTAACTACCAGCCGCCACACCAACCAACATAGCCATCAGACCCTCACGGGCAACCACTTCTTGCAATCGTTGTTACACTTATCACTTAAATCATTATAATTATATCACTTCCACCATCATCGTCATCATCGCAATTGCCACCTCTATCAACCTCTACCATCACTGGGGTCAATCTCTATTACCAACCACCCCAATCATCACAACTAGCATCGTTGTCAACTACCACCACACATTGTTTAGTTACCATCATCAACGCTATCATTTACTAGCATCAACTTCACCATCACAATCACCATTATCAATTGTCACCATTACTTCAGTCTCTACAATACAATGCAACTATTTCCATCATTTATAATATCACTACCACCATCATTATCAGCCACTAGCAATAGTCATTATCATCATTTCCACTACAACCCGTCTCTACCATTGCTAGTAACATAAGCATTTTATTTTTTATTTAAATTATATATTTATTATATTTAGAAATAAATAAATATGTATATTCAGACATTGTAAATCAAATAATCTAGAAATAACATCTTAATTGATATACATTTTAATTTTGACACATTAATTTTAATAAAAATAAATAAGACCTTATACACTTTTTTTTTTACAATTTTTTTTTTTCAGTAAAGTAGTAGAGAAAGTCGGTGGCACGTATAATAACGTCAGTTTGTACCATGGCATCAATGCATTTAGTCAGCGACAGCTCTATTTTTATTTATTTTTTATTTTTCGTTCGACGTTCATTGCATTTAGTCAGAGAAAGTTTTTTTTTTTTTTCATAGTGCCAATAAAAAAAAATATTCTTAATTAATATAATTTCTTTAAAGAATTGATCAAGTCAATAACTATTTTAAATGTTCAGTACTAACTTGACATAATACTTAGAGCCTGTTTGGATTGACGTAAAAAAATAGTTTTTAAATCAAAAATAAAATGTCAAATCAAATTGACTTTTAAGTCAAAAAATAAAAAGTAGTGGAAACCTAATTTTGGTTTCTGACTTATTTTAAGTCACTTTTTACCTTGTCAAATACTTCGTAACTTATTTTAAGTCATTTTAGACTTATTTTAAGTTATTTTTTATATTTGTCAAACACTTCCAGAAATAAAAAACTGACTTAAAAGTAGGTTTGACAAACTTTTAAGTCAATCCAAACGGGATCTTAGAAAACTATTAGGGGTCGTCAGTTGGGAATAATGAATTATCTCAAGATAAGTTATTTTACCATGTATATGACGTAACTTATCTCATCATTAGTTAAGGTATTAATCATGAGATAAATAATCCCAGGATTGTCTGATACTTTTAAACAAACACGCATTTTATTTCTGAATTACTAAATTTGTACCTCACACCAAACAACTCTAAGTAGCATGATAATTTTATTATATCATTTTTTATTATAATAAATTCAATGTTTTATATGTTGGTGGTGGTGCTTTGGAAATGCATTGAAAATTATAATTAATGTAATCAAATAAAGTATGAAATAAGTAATATATATCTCTTCATTTTTTTTAACTGGTTGAGTAAAAGGGAATATTTCTTAGTATATATATAAAAGTGAACGAATAAAATAGCATATATATGAAACCGTATATATGTATACTAGAGGGGCATGGCCCGTGCTAACATTTATAATATTAATGGTGGATGTTTACATGCATCATCATTTGGAGGTGCAAGGTAGGAATTAAATTAAAAGAAAAATGAAAAAAGTAGCACATGATAAACATAGAGCTAATATTACGATAAAGATATAATATTAATGCAGATGTATGCCAAATAAGTAGATAAAAGTTTACCTTTGAGAATACCTTCATTGGAACAAAATAACGTAAACAGTGACTAATAAACGATCGTAAAGAATTTTAGATACAACTTGTAAAATTATCCTTCCTTGCAATTCACAAATCAATCATTGTAAAGTAGTCATGGAAATTACACAACTAATGTTTTCACAATTTATCTAGGTTGATCAAGCATCTTAAGAGTTTTTGAGACCGAACCCTCAACATATTGAAGCATATCTCCCTAGAAAATGAAAAGTTAAGAAGATTAAAAGGACGACTCCATTAATACAATTCTAAAAATTCCCTGCATGAAATATGCACAAATAGTCCTCAAGCAACACTGTTTTTCAAGAAAGGACAATGATCACCTGTGGAAAGAATAAAAGTCAGAAGATCAGATACCATCTAAACAGAAAAATTCAATACAAAAAACCAAACATCCCCATGTAAAACTACAATCTCGATTAGAGGAACAACCCAATTCAGGCTCAGAAGTCGGAACTACTATATTAACTATCCAAAGGAAAAGTTAAGCCATTAAATAATATGTCATACTATTAACAGTCGATTGTTTACTCAAATTTCCAGCAATTAAAAAGACATAGTACCTCTTCTTTTTCATTCAGCAACTATCTGTTAACTTGTAGAATGATGGAATCACACTTGGAAAAGCAATGAATTTCAAATATGAAGTTTTACATGTTCAACCTGTCATAACTCATATATACGACACCAATTTTCAGAAAAAGGTCTACCAATATTTCCAAATTGTATCCACCTAGTAAGGAGTAATTTTTCATGCTTAAGTTATATAAGCACTAAAATGTATTGGTTAAGCAATTGCCCTCACATTCCAGCCGAAAAGTAGGAATCATCAACATTTAAATTTCATGGATTCAACCTTTAGGTTCTTACGACAGAAAATATTACACTTTAAAATTACACATGGTCATGTATATATCGTCTCGAAAATAATCGATATAACTAAACCCATCAAACTCTTGCTTTATCTGCACTTTGTCTAGACATCAAATTTAATGAATTTAGCCGTACATGTAAATATTAATATCATAAGCATCAACCAAATTAATCATAGAGTTGTAATACTAATAATTTATCTGTGCAAATCAAATTTCTAGATAACAAATGAGAGAGCACTTACATATGAATAGAAGTGCAACCATACTTGAGAGGCAAAAACTTTATTTAGCGCCAGACGTGTTGATACCTGTAATTTCTAATGAACAAAGTACAAGCACCTGATCCAAAAAAAATTTGTACAATGAAGTAATTTTATGTAATTCAACCAAGAACACACAAATCTAACAGCAAAGGAACGAAAAAAGATTAACTGCCATGAAATTGTTGGTGGGGTGGGGTTGGGGGGGGGGGGGGAGCTTACATCTATTATTTTTAGGAAAAGCTCCACCAAATATGCTCATTCTTCAACTTGATCACCTCTGTCAATAACAACAATAACATACCCAGTATAGTTCCACAACTTGATTGGCTTTGTCAAATAGAGATATATCTGTTTTCATTCCATACTTAAGGATCCAAATGAATCAGAAGGAAAAAACAACAAGTAAGAAATTGAATTATCTTTCGTGAACTGTTTAAATAACAAAATTTACTAAAGTAGTTCTTGCATATAGATCAAGTATTGACCATAATTTTCCAGTGAGTTGCAGAGACTCGCACACAAAGGGAGAATCGTGTTCATCCATGTTATTACGGACATACAGGCAAACAAAGTTGTGAACTTTCACTATGCTTTTGTGTCATTAATTTTTAAATACACTTCTTCTTGTTCTTTTAGTAATGTTGACCGAAGAGCTGCTTTAATTCTGAAAGCTTTTCATTCATTGAAAAATATCTATATTTTTAATAAATAGAGGTATCAATATCTCAAATAATAAGATAATTCTTGTATTAGTGATGTGGCTTTTCAATTATGTGATTTTGAGTTAAACCACTAGTTCTAAACTTTTTAATATAGGTTAATTCTCTTGAAAAAATAATTGAGATGACACAGGAGGTCGGGGTATAAAACTCAAAGAATTGTTAACATGACAAACTACCAGCAAGACAATTAAGGAACATAATAACAAAAGAGCTATGAGCATAATGAGAGTATAATTCTCTCCCGAACTCCCAATAAACTTGATTTATCTAGAACAAACACAAAAACAAAGAAAAATCCACAAACATAGTAACTGAAGATTATCCCAAGATAGAGTAAGGTAACAAAAAATGCATAATGATGACTCAAGAACTATAAATAAGAGAGAACAAAGAACTCTGACCTGCATATTTCAGTAAATATTTCATCAGGTATAACAAAACTGAAGGCCAAAAGGAGTCATTAAGATTATTTGCTAAGGAGACCTATGACTGGGAGGGTTCTCTATTGGTTAACCCGTTGTACTAATGTTTAGATTGCAAATGAATTATCTTACATGTACAATCTAAGAAAAATTTAGGAGACGAATATGATAGAAGCTCAAGTATAGTCTAGTTGCTAAATATAGATAAGAAGATAAAATAAATTGGATAGTAGAATAATCACTTACCTTTATTTGTCCATAATGTGCACGATAACTTGGATATTGAGTAGGTTAGCAGCAACCTAGTATCTCACGGACCAAATTGCAAGCAGTGCTAAATTTACATGTGACACAGATTGCAACAAACTATTGATATCCTCACGGATGGTTTATTGGAGACAAAAAAAAAGGTATCAGCAGTAAAAAAAATAGACTTGAAAGTTATATACTCTCACTTTGAGCTATTTTAGTAATCAAACCTGATAAAACCTGAAACCTTAGGATAGTCGTCTTGAAACTTGAACATTACATATGTAGCTATGTTTCTGTCAAGCTAACTGCATGGGCACAAGGGAACTTTCCTCAAAAGCCTAGAATACACCAACCTGACCAATAGTGACAATAATAGAATTCCTCTTGAGCTCCTTAAGAAGTTGGACGGGGAATTTAGGAAAAAAAAAAAAAAAGTGAAAACTTAGAGGACGATGATCCATAAAGCTCCAAATTTCATAACAAAGTTTGATGACTCAATGAATGGCTAATATTGTCTTAAATTGAAATAAACTTAGGGATAAACAATAATCATGAATAAAAAAAGCTTACAAAATAGTTGTATGTTTTCTTCTTCACAGCAGACTGTAAATTACCAAGATCTTTTTGAGTTTTGTCGTGAAGCCAATTTCAATTTTACTTTGAGAATTGCGACCCCATTTTCCATATGCAGGGTATATCTTTACAAAACAATAGTTATAATCAAGGTAAATAGCTTAGTCTTTTAAAATGTTTAGAAGAATTAGTCATTTCCCCTTCAATTGAGGCTAACATACGATATTATTCTTAGGCTGACAAATTTACTTCAAAAGAAGACATGATTTAGTTAGTAGTTTAGAGAGCTTTGTGTTGGATTCTATAATTAACACTGAAACAACATGCTTTTTTAAAAAAAATAAAGTAGTCAAGCAATATATTTGAAACCTCTCTAAGTAAATAAAAATTATATTCCTAGTGAAATAAAATTCAGACGACATCCAACTGAATGACATTTGGGATGATAAAAAAATAACCACATTCTTACATTAGCTAGATTGTAATTATGTCTGAAAGAACTTAACAAATCATACAAAATCCTTACATTAGCTGGGATAATTATGTCTGAAAGAAGAGAACTGATTTTTACTCAATATCACCATATAACATGTAAAGTACCTACCATATCCAACTGAGTTTTTTCTATTCGGAATTTTCCAATTCCTTCCCCACTCACCTACTTTAAACATAGAGGCACAAGTAGTTGATTGTGTAGTTGCGGAAGCATGTCCTCCGAAATGGTGAAAGATAAAGTAATGTAAACGATAGTAAATGAATTTATGTATGCAGGTATACCTATATATACACAGAAGCAACATTATATGAAAATTTAACTTTTCTGACCGTTGTCTCTAGTTAACGAAGGATCAGAAGTTGGAAGCGCACTTTGATATTCGTCATGACCCTGAACTTGTGATGAGGACAGTGTATTATTTGAATTCTGCAAGAGTCGCCCTTTTTTTTTATTCAGCTGTTTTAGCTTTCTGTTGCGATAGAAATAGTTGGTTTCTTTCTGGTGATATTTGTGCATATCTAGTACGACATAGCATATTTCTATGTGCAAGTTGTTGTTCCTTCGTGTTTTCAAGTTCAAGAGCGCATCAACATTGTTTTTCAACTTGTAACACCACAAAAAGAGGAAGCAAGTTCCAATAACAATGTGGACAGAAATCCTATAATACCAACAGGTTTTTCGTTCATTTTTTCTGTTTCGAGAAATCACCAAAGAACAATTGAAACAACATGTGCATTACTCTATTTTCATAAATATACATTTATGAAACAATAGTATCTCATTTAGTTAACAAATCTCGAAGTATTCATGGAAGTGTAATAAGCTTATTGCAAAACATGTCATGTTCCTTCATCTGACACAACAATAGGAATGGAGAATAGTAAAATTTCAGAACTTTTATCAATGAGACACAACAAAAAAACTTCACCTTTACTTATTCGATGATACCTTCTCATTTTATGGAGGTGTGTGATGATGTCGTTTAAAATTTCCACTTTCACGTATGACGTAGAACTCCAAGATCAATTAAAATTTCAGAACTTAGTGCTCGAAATTTAAATTGATATTTCATCTCTACTAAAATATAAGAACAGAGAAATTATACTACTCTCTAGAATCCAGAACCAAGAGTATTTTGTAAATGCACCAAAGGGGAAGATACATTGAAGGAAGAAGATTAAGAAAAGGGAAGAACCAGTAAGGAAAACAATAATATTATTTTGTTCTTTCAACTATATTATCAAAAACTATTGGCCTATCAGTATGATAATTATGCACTTAATAAACAAGTCAATAGAATATCCAAAAAGAAACTATAATTCAAAATAAACATTGGACTGTGCATTTATGAGCAATGAAAAATATTACAATTTTGAAAGTCAGAACAACTACATAGACATATGAATTTCTCCTTTAACATGATGCAATTAGGCAATGAAAAACGCATAAAAATTTATATAACATGCGTATAAGAAGAAATTCTTGTCATAAAACATCAACTTCTAAAAATTAGCTACTAAATAATAAAGCAAGCTTTTAGAATCAAAACTAATAATCAAAATACCATATTTGCACGCCACACACATGTTAAACAAAAACCATAACAAAATTTTGAAAATTAAAAGCAGAGAAGCGCAAATACAAAAGATTTTGAAAGCTGCTCCGAATTAAAGTAAATGCTCTAAGTTTGGAACTTCTCAAAATGAAAAAAGGGGAAACAGGAAGAAATTTACAGTATACCAGTTGAGAGGTCTTTGCTAATATGTGATAAAATATTTTTTTTCGTTGTACCTCTTTTAATTGGATTCGTCACTGCCAAATTGAGATGGGTCTACAGTCTTGTGTATAGGAGATGAAGAACTGGATTCAACATAGGAATTTTGTCCATGCAACATACCTACAACCACATACCAACAAAGCAGCAAAAATTGAAAGCAATATCAAAACAATCGAACATAAAATCAAACAAACAGAATCCAAAATCCCCAAAAAAAAAACCAAAGCTTACGGCGTCCAGTAGATCCCAGTGTAACAAAGTTTAACCAAAATTCCTGGAGGAAGATGATGTGAAAGCAAAGAAAAAAAATAAGAGACCAAGAAAGCAAAGTGAAAGAGGAAAATAGGACAGAAAGCCGGAGAAGAGAAAAAGGGAAGCTTAGCAGGAAGAAGAGAGATTGCAGAGTAGAAAGAACTTTGAAAGCCTTCGGTATTCTCGTCGTTGGCAGGGAAAAAGAAGCCTATACACGTGCTAAACAAATAGGCCCACAAAAGATAAAAGTACTCAATAGCCAATGAAATAGGTACACATTTCTAGTACAACTCATATTACTTTGTGTACAATACTTAGCTGCAGCGTTCGTCCTAGTTGGTGTACAATTAGTACTGCCTTTAGTACAATGAAAAGATGCAGTGTTGGTCCTTTTGAAGTCCCATTTCTAAATATGGGTAATCTATATTAGGGCAGAAACAAAAACTTTAGTTTATGAATTATAGACTTCAGGGGCGGTTCTAAAATATAAGTTTTACGAATTCAATTAATAAAAAAATTATTTAATATTTACGACTTTAGAATTAATAATTTTTTAGTTACCATATATAAATTATTTCTTTG